CAGCGAGCGTGCCGCCTCTTGGGTGACAGTACACTAACCCCGAACCTTCGATTCATTTCGTTGATCGACCAGTTTTTGCTGAGCTATTTATATTACCCCGAACCTTGAACCGAGAGCCCCAAGTTCCACTAAATGTGTATAAATCCTTAATCGATGATTTCTGATTAAGGAGTGTAGTCGATGAGTCCCTATGCTTTACTTGAGAGTGTCTCGAGTCGGCAAATTGGGAATGTCGTGTTGCTTTGGGTCAAGCCTTGGGTTTGTGCATAAGGGTTGCGTTCGACTCGTGGAGTTGACTTCATGGGAATGTGAGCTTGTCGGTGTCGTGTTTTATTTATGTGGTACCGTGTTGTGGTCTCGGATGGAGACGCACGGTTTGAGATAAATCGGGAGCAAGTTATCAGTGTGACTCGGACACGAGACTGAAGGTTGGCGTCACGTATCCACCTTGATGGTGAGACAATAAGAGTACGGTAGCAATACACCGAACGACCGGTTGGGGTCTTGTGTGTTGTTAGGTACGCCGCGAATTGTTGATATCCATTGGTATAGGCCAAGCCGGACTGGGTCCCTTGCAAGAAGATGTACGCCTGAGCTTGGGTAGGACTGATCACCCTCCCCGGTAAGAAGGTAAACATATGAGCATGGGGCGAGTCAGATTGGTTCCTGTATGTGAGTACATGCCTTTCGAGTATAGGGCGATATGACTCATGGGAACAGAATTGAGTTCCAGAGAACTATGCCGGACCTCGTGATTGGGAATTCCTGTGCGAGTCTATCGTTTCCTTTTCGATGTGTGTTCTTTCGCATTTCCGAGGACAGAAATATTTTATGGAGGATAAATTGTAGCGCCCCATTTGTTTGTTAGAATTACTGGATTTTAATATTATAGCCTTATTTTATTTAATTTTCGGTTGTGATATAAATTTGCTCCTCTTATTCGTCTACTTGATATAAATTGTTATGTGACTAATATATGTGATTATTATATGTTTCTATATTCATTGTGTGTATTAGAATTATTTAAAGCTTATTTGAAATAAATTTTAAATTTGTTTCGCAAATTTTCGGTTTAATCGCGTAAATTGATTTTAATCCGTATGGACCAATTTCTTTGGTATTTTATTTGAACCTTGAAATTATAAAGTTCGATTGGCCGATTTATTGGAAATTTATTCAGCCCGCATTAAGAGCTGGAATCTAGATCCAATGAATCCACTCTTTGGCCCAAGTGAAGATATAATTTCCAGCCCATAAGAACTAATTTTGACCCATTGTCTCTATCTCCTCGTGCAAAATTGTTGAACGGTTCTTTCCCAAATCTCCCCGTATCTCTCTCTCTCTCTCGCGAATCTGCAGCATCGACGGGAGAAGTTCACCCCAATTGTTTCGAGCAGTTGCAACAGATTTTAGTCCATCCCCTTTAAAATCGATCGAAGCCCACATACCCTCACCTCATCTCCTCTCGATTGAGCAGCAAACCCATCTCCCTCAGAGAATTCCTTCGGCCAGCGAGCTTCCAGCGGCGAGCCACCAACCACCGACGTCGAGCCTCGATCCCGTTATCTCCTCGGGAAACTCCCTTCTGTAGCAGGCCGCTAGCGAGTCCTTTGACCCTCGCAATCCGCCTGTAGCCGCCTTCACCGGCAATTCACCATGGCAGCCCATCGAGAACGGTGGTCCATCCTTCGTCATCACCAAGGAAAGACGACCGTCGATGATTTCAAGCAGCAACCCGATGGTTCCTCCAATTCGCAGAAGTCCGCTCCGCCACAGGCCTACAACCACCGCGAGCGACGGGACCAACGTCCGACGAGGCCAGGCCTCCAGCAACTTCGGGCCTCAATTCCCGTCGGGCCGCGACTGTTTGCGAGCCCCGACCATTGTCCAGCGATTTCGAGCTCTCGACTACCGAGCTTTGTTTAGCCCCGTCTTCCTACAACGGCTGAAACGACCTCTGACCTTCAACCAAAGGCAACCATCGCCAGCGACCCTCGACCAGCGACGGGCCGTGACCAGCCATCATTCGCAGCAGCACCCTGTCGAGGAGCTTCAGCCGTGTGTCCTCGAGTAGCAGACCCTTGAGCAACAGCCGCAGGCTGAGACGAGCCCCTGTTCGTGCTCGTTTAGCCACCTCGAACCATGAACAGTAACGTGCCGAGAACCGTCGGGTTCTTTTCAGAGTAGCAGCAGCTCGTCGTCCGGCAGCGGGCAGCCGATGACTCACGAGCAGCAACGACGAGCACTTTGGTGGGGCTGAGCCATCGTCCTCTGTTCGTCTTTTTCACGAGCTATTGTCGGACCGTGAAATCATCGAAAGAGATATATTGGCTGTACCTTTTTCCTTTTTTTTGGCCATAGCAGAATGCTTGAATCTTTTAGTTGAGTTGTGTTGGGGCTTACTTTATTGAGTTGTAATTATGGCTGCTGATTTGTATTCAGTTAGTGCAAGTGCAAGGGTGTTGTTTATGATAATTTGTGTTTAATGTTCATTTATAAAAAATGATTAGACTATTAGAATTTGAGCATGAAATACAAACTGTTGCCTTGATATGTTTGAAATTTGCTGTGGCCTCGAAATTAATATTTGTTCTTATGATGCTGAAATTATGAGCTGGGATTTACCTAGGTTCGGTTAAGTTCTAATGGCATGCTTAATATTAGTTGAATAATGAAGAGGAATATGAATTCGATTATTTGTTACGTTGTAGCACTTGTGAAGTGTTTATGCAGGGTTAGGTATTAATTGATTTATCGTGAATTATGTTTCAATCATGTGATATCATGTGAACTTGTGGTAAAATCGTGTTAGGGCTGACCTTCTTATGTTTTGTATGCGCGTATTTGAGATATATGTAGTGATTATATGTGTCTTGTCGATGCTATGTTCATGAATGTATGATTTGGGTTGAAAATTGATTTAAAAACTTCAAGTTAAAGCTGCTGGTTGTGCTCAGTTTTTCATAATGAAGTAGCTGTTTCCTGGTTAAGTGTTCATCATGAGAATTGTAGTATTTTGAGTTAGGCTTCGGTGAGATTGTAATTTCGAAATTCGGAGTTGATTTGAATTTATTACAAATTTTTTTAGTTGTACATGCATGCAGTTTTTGTAATATCGGGCAGATTAGTGGATCATGATGTTGGGTTGTTTTTGATGATCCTAATGTGGCAATTTAAAGATGTAATCATCATGAAACTTGTAGTACATATTATAAGCTTTCACTGGGAGTTGAAATCATTATATTTGGAGTTTTGGTTGATTTTATATGATATTTCCAAGTTGGGGTTATGCCCAGAATTTTTAAAACAGTGGCTGTGTATATGATTGGAATGCATGTTCTGAAATGAGGCCTTTAACGTTATTATTAGTAAAAATACTCTTCTTGAATCTTGTATTTTTCCTTGTTTAGTTTTTGTAGGTTTTGAGTTTGTATGATTAGGAGTTCTGTAACTTGAGTTATTGTTGTTTTAGTGAAGTGCTGTAAATTGATAAATAGTTATGTTGGCAGATTGCTTGGCCTACGTGTTTTATGCTTAAACTCGACTGTAAAGCTATCTTTGGCTTAAGTGATCAACATGAAAGTTGTGGATATATGTGTTAGCTACTCATTGGTTTTGGAGTCACCTGAATAGCATACTTGTAACTCCTGTTATTGGAAATACTGAGACTATGCGAGTTCGTTGTGCAAACATGTTATTATGAACTATGTGGTTGAGTTATATCGCATGAGTGTGGTTATAAGTGTTCGTGTGTTGGATAGTTTTTCGTAGGACTATTTTGTGTAATGTAGGTGTTTGACGAGCTGTGTTCTCGGCCTACCTTTTTCCCCCGATTTTGTGTTACTTCTCTATCGAGTTACCAGGTGGGTTGTTATTCTAAAATTGCTATGCCTTAAATGTTATTACTGTTTTAATTATTGTATGATCAAAGTATACATGTGGAACATGTAGCCTTCGATGTGAGCTGTACTGGCCGTCGAATGGTTATCCCCGTAGCTATAGAATGTACCCATTGGGAAATCTCCCTTGAGGATTTACTCCTACTGGCTTGGGGCACCGATAGAAGCCCGAGGGGCATTCGGTATTTTACCCGGCAGTAGTGGATTACTCCTACTGGCTGACACTCGATGTAGGACCCGAGGCATTCGATATATAGTCAGCAGTAGTGGTACTCATACTGGCTGGCACTCGATGTAGGACCAGAGGGCATTCGATATATAGTCAGCAGTAGTGGTTTACTCCTACTGGCTGACACTCGATGTAGGATCGGAGGGCATTCGATACATAGTCAGCAGTTGTAACACCCCACTTTGATTTAAGAAATAATCCATGGCTTATTTCAAAATCATGTTTACATTTTCGAAATTCATTTTTCAAAATCCATATCATTAGGGCATTATCGTGATTTCAATTCATATTTGAAACCTCACGGGAATTCATTACCCGGTTTTTCACATGGACTTCATTGTCCTAAAACCAACAATTCACATGATATTCAAATAACACATTCATCCTGAATATCCAATCATAGTTCAATAATACGAACCAAAACATAAGTTCAAAACCAACATTTTCAAACGACATGTTCTGAAAGAAATTCACATGCTCAAAACCCAAGCAGTTCAAGTTCATCAAATCGGGTTTAACTTATTCAAATAAGCAATGCGGAAGCAAATAACATAAAATGACCATCCATTCGCCATCACGCCATCGTGCCCGCCTTGCTTAACCTGAAACGTGAATTTCAGGTGGGGATGAGCACAATAGGAAAAAGTAGTGCTCACCACTATGCATTAAATTATATATTAAGACAGAATAAGCATGGTCGCAGCATGAACACGAATCATTCAACTATCACATCTCCTAATCATAACATTTTACTCATGTGCACATCTATCATTAGCCATTGAAGGTCGAAACCGCACACAACAATGGGAGTAAATACCGAAGGGTGTACAACTCCCCTCGGCCTTGCCTATCATTAGGCTAGGGAGACTGCCTATCATTAGGCACCGTCGAAGGTCGAAACCGCACACGACGACGGGGATAACCGTTCGAAGGTCGAAACCGCACACATCGAAGGTTACAGGTTCACATGCATACATTGATCACACCATTCGACTTTCATAAAGAATTTAATGCATAAGAAATTTTGAATAACCCACCTGGTCGCAAATAGGAGATAATCACGAAAGCACGATTAGATTGCGAGCTCGGCTCGTCAAACACCTACATTAAGTCCAGATGCTATAATCAACACCTATTCAGACTTAAACGAGAAATCACAATCATACTTAGTCGAACTTGATTCAACTAAGTTGTTCGTGAAGTCCTGTGGACGTTGGAACACTTAGACTTGACATCTAGACTCAACCAATTACACATGGGAGTTCACATAATCAAACATAAACATTGACCAAGCCAAACACTTAATGAAATAAATGACGAGTCGGTTAACAGTTTTCATTCTAAAAACCACATTTACGATTATACAAGTTTAAATCACAAAAATGAGTTGACCAGGTTGCCATATGAATTTAGCTCTGAAATTTTAACATAAATTTTACCTCCCAGAGTTAAGAAAATACACAAATTTTCAGCTTCAAATCCCAAGTACACTATTTTATAAAATTCTCACAAGATATCAGCAAAACCGAGCCATGAATTTATACTCAAACTTAATGAATGATTCAGGACTTGATAATTTTACACAATACACTACAGCATGATATAAACAACATATAAAAATCCCAGCCCTTAACATTAACTGCTTCTATTTTTAAAAATTCAAACGAGCTTCAGCAGTTTATCGAATTTAAATCAAAATCGAACTAAAATGAACTCCAAAAATTTTCATATTTTAACAGCATGCATAAGTACATTAAATAAGCCTCTCAGTAAAGTTTCAAAATTTTCCAGCAAGAATTCAATTTACTAAAATTAAATTATGAAGCTGCAGAATACAACAAACAATTTTTAAATATAGCAAACGAAGTCCAAAAATTCCAAAACTTTTACACGACCTAGAAAACACACAGGAAGACATCATATTCAAATTCCATAATTTTTGAGGCAAAACTGAATTTAATATGCATTTTACAAGATTCTGCTCAGATTTCCAAATAATTATTAAAAATAGCTAAACTTATTATTTAAATCTGAAATTTTTACACAACAGGTATTTCCAGCAGAGGGTCGAGCACACAAAATTTCGCAGCAATACGAGCATCACAAAATTTATCATAATTTATCTACCAAAACAGCGACAATACAAAATTGTTAATTCATAACCGACTCATTCTATGACGAATCCGTCCGAAGTCTTCGCCATAAGACTATGGACGACATAAGTTCCAGCCCACAGCGACAAATTCACGAGTTGACGAGGCCTCGTTCGATTTTTCCAAAATCGAAAGGCTCGTCAACGCACAATTTCACATTCGACACAACAATAACCTCATGAACACAAATAAAAATCACATAGGCATATTCTTATGAATTCAATATACACATACGACAATCAAGAACACAAAATAGACGAGACGTAAAATTAAATGAGACGAGTCGAGCCTTGTACCATTCACGGGAAAAATAAACGTTCGAACGAACGGTTGACGGGCTCGAACGAACGGCACACGAAGACGGCTCGAGACTCGACGAGAAGCACGGTGGCCGCTTGTCGGAAACAGAGGGCTGCTCAACAGGAAAGGGGAACGCTGCTGAGGAGGAAGAGGGTCGTCACAACTGGTCTTGCTCGCCAGAAGGTGTCGCTGCGCGGAGGAGAGGTCGCCGGAATAGCTTCGCGGAGGATGACCTCTGTTCGCTGGTCATGGTGACCTGAGATGGCGGAAGGGGTCGCTGGTTTGCAGGGATTCGCCGGAGGAGATGACCTCGCGGCGTTGCTGGGCGTGAGCGGTCGCGACTGGTTGCCGGAAGCCGAAATTCACGCGATGGTTATCGCCGACGGGAGGAGATCGCAGCGATGGGGATTGGCGAAGAAGATGGTGGTTCACGACGATCTGATGGCGTAGACTATGGCGCGATGATGATTGAGAGGGATGATGATCAAATTGAGAACGAGGGTTCTCTTCTGTGCTTCTGAAACGATCGCGATTGAAAGAAAAATAAGGTTGCGGGCTTCTCCTTTTTATCTGATGAACGAGCCAGATAGATAGCGAGACTAGGGCAAAAGAGTTATTGGGCCTAACCAATTGGATTGAGTTTTATCTCAAATGGGCCGAAAGATTAACATATGTGGGCCGAGTAAAATGCATCCAATTGGAGCAGAATTTTTCATATAAATCGGGCTATATATCCAATTCAAGGTTCGATCGGAAAAAGGCTCGAAAATTTCAATCG